CCCCGGGGCAGCGGGAGGGCGGGCTGGGGAGGGAAGACTTCTTCTTTTTCTTCTTCTTTCTTCTTCTTCTTTCTTTATCTCCTCCCCCGGAGCCCATAACCTTTCTCCGCCGCCACCCCCTCCCGCCTGTCCCCTTCCCAAACGGAGCCGCCGGTGGGGTGATTCCCCGTTGGGACCAACCACGCTCGAAGGGCCGCCGTGTGGGATGTGCGGTGGGTTGGGGGGGTCTCAAACGCCCCCACCCGCTTTAAAAACCGTTAAGTGTTGGAAGAGTTGGAAGCGTGAGGAAATAGGTAGGGACCTGTCACGCGAGGGGAGCGTGTCGGCGCGTCAGCCGCGCGTGCGGGGACTTTCGGAAGAACTTTATGACTTGGCTTTTATCTCTTCCCCGGGCCATCGGCAGCGTCAGAAGCTGGCAGCGCTGGGGGTTATGGAGAGGATGGGCTTGGGCAGTTTTAAGTCTTTTCTCCTCCCCTGCCAGCGCTCCTGCTTTTCTGCCCCCCCTCCCCCCCCTGCCATCCCTCTTCCATGTTTCCCAGGGATGCAGGAGCTGAGGATCCCGCTCCGGAGAGCTTTCCGGCACACCGAGCCGCGCTCGGAATCCGCAGACAAAAGGCCAGTTTTGCAGACCTGGGCAAGAATGGGAGCACCTTGGCTTGCTCAGCAAGAAGGGCTCCTGGCAGGCGAGGAGAGGCGTTCTTCCCTCCCTCCCTCCCTCCGGCAGTACGCCCTAGGGCTAAATTTGTATTCCCAAAATCTGTATTTCCAGCGCTTCGGGTGATCTCCTGGTGCTGTGGGATTTAGGAAAAAATGACACCGGCAAAAGAGCTCAGCCACCCGCTAGCGACGGAGAGGGGGGAAAACAAGGCAGGGACAAGGGCTGCAGTTGGGATGCTTCCTTCCCATCAGGAAGTCTCCGAAACCGCTCTGTGTGAGTGGAAACACTCCCTGCGGCTGACACCGGCGGAAGGGCAGCGTGCCGGCAGCTCCGGCAGCCGTGCAGCCTCTTGCTGGAGTTTTGGTTGCTCCCAGGGTGAGATTATCTCTGCAAGAGCAGCATTTAGCATCCGGCTTAAATTCTCGCCCGTGGCCCTGTCCGGATGGAGGGATTTGCAGCAGCGGGGTTTTTGTCGATGGGGGCTAAGGGTGTCGTTGCATCAGCGTTAAGCCGCTGGCGTAGAGGGAGGGAGTTTACTTATTTTCAATATGAACTTGTGGATCACGCTGTTGTAACTCCCGTATTTCAGTCAAAGTCCTCTTCATTCCTTCAGCGCAGTTACAGCCCGGGATTTTTGCCTGCTGTTAGAAAACTCCGTGGCTGGAGATAAATGTGTGTGTGTGTGTGTGTGTGTCCTCCCTGCTGCTGGCAGGGGTTGGGGCTGCGTCAGGCAGAGCGAGCCTGTGGCACCCTTCATCTTCTGATGCTGTTTAGCCAGGAAAGCCCTGATCCAGAGGGATGGAGCACCTCTGCTGTGAGGACAGGCTGAGGGAGCTGGGGTTGTTCAGCCTGGAGAAGAGGAGGCTGTGGGGAGACCTTAGAGCAGCCTGAAGGAGGCTACAGGAGAGCTGGGGAGGGACTCTTTGTCAGGAAGTGTAGTGACAGGACAAGAGGTAACGGATTTAAATTGGAAGATTTAAATTAGATCAGATACCAGGAAGAAATTCTTTCCTGTGAGGGTGGTGAGACACTGGAAGAGGTTGCCCAGAGAAGCTGTGGCTGCCCCATCCCTGGAGGGGTTCAAGGCCAGGCTGGATGGGGCTTGGAGCAACCTGGTCTGGTGGGAGGTGTCCCTGCCCAGGGCAGGGGGGTTGGAACTGGATGATCTTAAGGTCGATGCCAACCCAAACCATCCTATGATTCTATGAAGTATTGATGTATTTGGGGTGCGCTCGAGGTGATCTGTTTTCAGAGTAGCCAGGGCACGCGCTCTGCCCTGGGGGGAGCTGTAGGGGCACAAACAGGGCGAGGATTTCCCTTCAAAACCTTGTGGTGCCTGGAGGTGGCCGGGGTGGGCTGGCTGGAGATGCCTTCCCAGCTTTACACCAACCCAGGAGCGGATGAAAGGCACCGCTGTGCTGGGTTCGCTGGAGCTAGGAGCGGGTTTGCCCTGGAAGACTCCGTTGCCAGCTGACGTGGGTCAAGGACGGGAAAAGACATGCCAGAATTTTTGCTGGATTTTACTGGATGTCTTACAAGGTGCACGTTACGTACGTAACGTGGGCTGGAAGCCCTTGGGGCCTTCTTTGTGTTTGTTATCCGTAAGTAGCTAAGTGAATTTATCGTAAGTGATCTAAAACTTGGGTCTCCTGTACTTCAGCATTTGCATGCAACCAGGGAGAGCGGCAGTGAAATTAATATGCCAGAGCTTTGTCTTTCAAGCTGGGGAAGAGTCTGGCTGTGGGTCTGTTTGCCTCACTCTGCTTTTTAAAAAGCAGTCGCACTTTGTATGGTTTAGTACCTTTTACACACCAGCATCTCATCAAATGAAGTATCTTTAACTAAAACTCGTGCACGTTTGGTACGTTAAGTATAGCATCATTAAGGATACTTCGTTTATGTGCTGTCTGACCGGTCTCTTACTGCAGTATTTTTAGTAAGTTGATGTTGTCTCTACATTTCTCAGCGAGAAATTCCTCTTGTTGCATTCCTTGCCTTTAGTACAGCCAGAGTTGAAGTAAAATATTTTGAATTCTCTGCTCTAATCTCTTCTTTCCTTGCTGACCTTCATTTTGTGTTGTTTACAAGAGGAGTTCACTTAGAGAAGATACGACGAATGGAACAAAAAAAAATGTAAATTGGAAATAATACTGTAAATACATCAGACTTCTGGGAAGCACCTTTAATTGCTCGTTCTTTTGTGACTCACTAGGGGCAGATTTTTTTGAAATACGTTTGAAGATTCTGATTTTTGCAATTTTTTAGGATTTCAGGCTGACCCAGTGCTCAGGTCTGGCAGCTGCAGGTGGAAAGCCTGGCGCTGAGAGCTGCCCCTCGGGAAGGATATTCCTTAGAAGTGGGAGTCAGTCGGTAATCAGTTAAATACTCTCAAGTACTGAGCTGACCTCATTCCTTTGCCTTCCTCATTTTTGGGGCAGCAAACATTGCAACATCAAAAGCTTCTGTTTCTGCTGAGCTCAGGGGCAAAAAACAAACACCCGTCTGGAACAAGGTGGTGGTGCTTACAAGGTTAAAATACCTGTCCTCTGCCTGTCTTCTAGGGGTCCCAGCAGTCTGCATCCCACCCGAGACAGGTCTCGGGGAGAGAAACAGCAATTGCATGCAGTCCCATGTTAAAATAGTGTCCAGCCCGTGTGTCCTTGCTGTCCCCTCTGGCCTTCTTGGAGCTAGCGCCAAAAGGATGTCACCGAGGAGCCTTCATCCTTGCTCCTGCTGTGTGCTGGTGCGGGGCAGCGGGAGGGTGGGCTCGGTCGCTTTTTGGGTGTCACCTTGCTGCTGTCACAGGAGATGGGGTAGGCAGCACCCTGCTTGCAGCTTGGCCACGGCAGCAAGAAGCCAGAGCTCCCATCCCAGGAGGCTCCATCTCCAGGGAGACCCTATAGCAGCTTTCCAGTGTCTGAAGGGGGCCTACAAGAAAGCTGGAGAAGGGCATTTTAAAAGGGCACATAGTGATAGGACGAGGGGTAATGGCTTCAAACTGGAAGAGGGGAGATTTAGATGAGATATCAGGAAGAAATTCTTTGCTGTGAGGGTGGTGAGACACTGGAAGAGGTTGCCCAGAGAAGCTGTGGCTGCCCCATCCCTGGAGGGGTTTAAGGCCAGGCTGGATGGGGCTTGGAGCAACCTGGTCTGGTGGGAGGTGTCCCTGCCCAGGGCAGGGGGGTTGGAACTGGATGATCTTTAAGGTCCCTTCCAACCTGAACCATTCAATGATTCTATGAATCTGTGTGCAGAGTCGTCTCCTGGGATGGGTCATGCTGGAGGGGTCATCCCTTTGGACCGGGAAAGCCTTTTGGACCAAATGGGCTCTTGGTGGCATGTTTTTGTTATTTATTCCGGATGTTGAGGGTTTGTTCTCTGACTTTGAACAAACAGAGGCAGGGATGCTCTTTCAGTGCTGAGGAGCAGAGCCACGAATGCCTCTACCTATTATTTCTTGGCGTTTCTTTCCTCCCGTGCTGTCTCGAGGTGGGTCACGAGCAAACTCAGTGGCCTGTTCAGAGCTGCTAAAGCTCCGCTTGGGTTTGGAGCTCTCCGTGTCGGTTGTGAAGGCATGGAGAGGTGATGGTGCTGTTTTGCTGTAACCTCCCCGGCGTAACTGAACAGCTTGCTCATTTTGTCCTCTAAATCTCAGTCCTCGTTCTTTACCTTCTTTCATTGCCATGTCTGACATGAGTCCAGAAGGGTGAGATATATAAAACTGCTTAAACGCAGGAATGCTTTGGGGCTGTTGACCTCGGGTCTTTGCCGTAACGCTTTTCTCTTCCTGTTTTCACAATGTACAAAATGAGGTTTTTCCAGGCTGCAACATAGGCTTTTGCAAGCTGTTTGATGATATAATAGACTGAAGAAATTGATGCTCCGTGTGCATCCAAACACTTCACAGAACTGACAATAATCCTTGTAGTCTGAAGCTGGTTTGTCATATGCAGTATCGTCGCTAATTTGTTTTGTGATTCCTAAATGCGTTGAAAATGCTGACGATTCCTGCAGTCCCCGTGGCTTGTGCAGGCTGGCACTTCTTCCCTTAGATGGAAGATCACACACAAGGAGAAGTGAAAAGGATAATCAGTGAATTACATAGAAGTTAGTTTGTTTAAAAACTTATTTCTGGTTCAGATCACTTTGCTGTGGCCTTTCCTAAGGCTGTTTAAATTTGGTATTGCAGCAATACAGTTAAGAGGGCACTGCTTAGGCTGGCATCCCTGGAGTTCCTAAGTGCTGATTTGGTAAAAGTGGTTTATATCTGGGTTTTCGAGGACACCAAAGGCTGTTCCCTGTGTCCGACAGAACAGCAGTTCTAGCTCTGTTTGATAAAGGCATTGCAAACAGTGACCTGGATTGATTTTTTTTTTTTTTTTTTTTTTTTTTTTTTTTTTTTTTTTTTTTTTTAATTGACAAATCAAATAAATGCTGCCTCCAATCTTACTATGGAGATAACTTGTAGAGTTGCTGTGGATCGTGTACGCAGTGGCTCTCCCTAGATCTCTTTAATGAAATTAGTCTCCTAAAATGTATTGCCTTGGTTTCTCTGTTTGTGTTTTGGCATTTACGACGCATTATCTTACAGGGTAAATATAAGCACAAGAGCAAACTTGTCCAAAAATATGCGGT